TGAAGTCGCCTAAAATTAACTCGGTCACCTATAATTTCCTAAGCTTCCCATTTTTTTGGGTTTATCAACGACCCCAGGGATCCTAGTTCTATTTACCCTAGCCATGGGGGTTCTATATGAGGAATAAAGGAAGGAAAAAGGAAGAAGATGATGGAGATCATTGAACAAGAATACTTATACACTTTATAGCTAGCCTAATTCTGCTGAAGAACTACTTGGGGAATCAAACAACATGAAGAGAACAATTGTCTGAAGAGTCTCTCACCTTCTGAGCCCTTCCCTATATATGTGTGTTCGAAGTTGAGGACAGTTAACGGAAAGGCAGGAGTCATTAATGGGAATTCAAAAATGAGCGGTAAACGTGCGAGTGACAGCCCCCAAAATAAAGGTGTGCAAAGTAAGTCTCCATTCTCCTTTTGACACCTATCCCATGAGGCAAGGAAAATAAAAGTTGAGGGCGGGGGCAGTTAATGGGATGTTAGAAGCCATCCAACTAGGAATTGACACGTGGCTGCCCATGGTGGTTAGAGCACGTGGGATGGTCCTTGGTAGCCGAGGTTGAGCATAGGATGCTTTAGGCCAAGACCGAGCATAGAATGCCTAACTGCGAGTGAATGTTTACTCTGTCCGTGTTGAATATTAAATGGCATCGATGTATGAGTCTCGAGCAATGCGTTGATGCAACAAGCCATTATTAGTTGTCTAATTCGTAGAGAACTCAACACTAACCATCAAAAGGACAAAGTATAGTCCTTTATTCCAAGGGAGGAGCCCTTAGGGGGTTCTCGTAAAGACCCTTGCGCCAACTCATAAATGGTCAGCGCTAGAGTGTGAATATTGGGGTAGAGCACTCGATGTTCAGGAGATGGAGTAATAAATGTGCAATCTGATCTCAAGATGTAAACATAGACGTCCAATCACTTGGCATTAATGAGTCGACGGGATAACAATTATTACTCTAGGCAGAGGGCACAGGCTACGAAGCCTAGCTAGGATTGGAGATTGAATGGGATCCACCTCATTGCAATGAAAGGGTATATATACCCCATTGGGACAGAAAGAAGGTACACAAGCAATAGTAGCTCTGTATTGTACACTCCCCCATACTTGAGAACCTATTAACTTAAACATTGGAGAGGATAAGCTGGTTATAACCCTAACCCCTTTTTTGATGTTGTTCCTTATTTCAGGAAAGCTCACTTCGAAGTTTGCTATCTCAATCTATTGCATGAAGTCACCCATGCACTTGGAAATGAAATATACAATCCCTAGTAATGCCCATTCTTATGTTTGATTGATAAGAATTAAAATTCACTTCTATTCCTAAAGAATATTTATGCATTACCAAGTCAACCATGGTATTTCCTTTACCATATGCGCGCGCACACGCCATATGCACTGAATAAAAATCCCGATCACTCTTTTCCCTTCCCGATCGTTGGCTCATTTGGTTGCTGAGCTACATCATTTCCTCTCTCTCTCTCTCTCTCTCTCTCTCTNTAAAATTCACTTCTATTCCTAAAGAATATTTATGCATTACCAAGTCAACCATGGTATTTCCTTTACCATATGCGCGCGCACACGCCATATGCACTGAATAAAAATCCCGATCACTCTTTTCCCTTCCCGATCGTTGGCTCATTTGGTTGCTGAGCTACATCATTTCCTCTCTCTCTCCTTCTTTCTTCAGATCTTCTCTTCTTCCTCACTGATGCCCATGGCACTCCATCCTCTCCTCATTCCCTCCCAAATTTTCTCTCATCTATTTATGAAGCAAGGGTGGTGGCCATGACCAGCCTGTACTAGCTCAGACGATCAATCTCAGGTAATTTGTTGCAACCTAGTCAGTAATTCTCATATCCAACCTCGAGTTTCTAGGGTTTGGGGTCTTGTTTCTTTTTTCAAATTTCTTTTTTCAAATGTGAGTTAGTCTCTCGGAAGTACTCTGCTTTATCTTGGAATACTCTGCTTTAATATTTCAGGTATGTTTTTTCTTTTCTAATTCGAGATATAGAACTAGCTCTTTATGTAGATGACACCACCCACACTTGTAATTGGAGAATCATGACTTATAAGTGACCTAGTTTTTGAGACCCAGTGGAACGGATTCATAATGCAGACCAAGTGTTTGTCAAAATGCAGAAGAAAAAAAAGAATAGAAAATTGCCTTCTTTTGCATTCATAGCTGGTTATTGAGGTGACCTCTGATTTGTTCAAATCCAAGGCTAGCTGGTTATTGAGGTGGCCTCCGAGTTGTTCAAATACAATGCTTGTTTCAAATTGGTATAGAAACAAAAGAACTAGAATGGGTCTTTCTCTTTAAATGAGTGCGAGATGGAATTTTTGGGATCAAGCTCAAACTGGGACTTGACAAAACAATCATATTTCATGTCTGTCTTCTATCTATAAACAGAGGCAGTCAACAGACAAGAATCCCATCTATTACTTTTTATACTGTCCAAGAATTATCATTCCAAGTTGTTCAGTAGCATCATCTATAGTTCTTTGTCCAGTAGCATAGTTCTTTGGAATTGAAAGAATGGTGAATCATTTTTTTATCCACCAGCATCCATCCTCTCAATTTCAAACTTAATAGAATTATGCACTGTTGAGAATTTTTTAATATGGTTTGTAAGCTTTAATCCATGTGCCATTGAGAGAATTAATAGCTTTAATCATTGGGCTAATTATAAGATTTAAAAAGCAAGTTGGATTGACAACTTGCACGATTTTTTACAAGTTTTGGCAAGGTTTGATAGTTAATCATGCACACAATTCTTGAGGGAAATTTCTTTAACGCAAATAATGGTGAATATTTGGTTTGTATCCAACCGATCCCTCTTATACCCCCATTAACAAGGATTAAGTTGTGTTATTTTTCAAGTAAGGTTTCACAGTTTATTGTTGCTAGACAATTATCATCACCTCCCCCACTTTGTCAAATTAGACTATCTTCCAGTTCTAAGTTCTTTTTCCTTGTCTGCTCTTGCAACAATTCTTTTTGTTACCCTCTATTGCTTTTTCTCTGCTGTGAATTTTACAAATAAAATTTCATCTTGCTTCATGTCTGAATAGTGAATAATATGATTCTTGAGTCAAAATGTTGGTTGCCATTGGGGATTCATGTGTTTTGTTGCGTGTTCATGCATGGCATGGAATCCATATTTTGAAACACAATGTAATCTTCCTATGAATGCAGTATACTACAGTATTCAAGGCATATCAATTTTGTATTTAAGAAGTTAAGACATTAGTCAAGAGAGATCATGAGAAAATATGAAAGTTGTAATAATGGCTATTGCCATGGAAGAATTACTTGGTCAATGTTTCTAGCTGCTTGTTAATTTTGGTGGCTGAGCTTTCTTATTCTATTATTTTCCCAATATATTTTGCACCTTCCAAAGATCATTACTGTGATGTTGGGTGTTTTCAATCTTTTTTAAAGTCTATAAATATTTTTTCTATCTTGTTTAGGATTCTCGAATTTCAAGAAGGTGGAAATTCTATGAAAAGATTGACTATGGACTGATTCTGAGATGGAGGGGATACTGGGTCTACATGTCTAACATTAGCTATGCCCGATTGGCTTTGTGGTTGTGGATTTATTGCGCCGGGGTGGTAAATGGAGGGTTTGTTCCTTGAGCTTGCATTTGCAGCCAAGGTATTTATGATGACTACCTACGAATACCTAGATAGAGTTTTGAATGATCTTGGGCAAAGAGTGGATGCATGATCAAGGAGAAAGACCTTTTTTGTGGAATGGTATATGACTCGGTACTATATTTAGGAAAAGTAAACCAAATGTAATTATTTTAAATTGGATGGCAACTATAAATGACTAAGCTAGTGGTGCATGATAGGTTTTATTTTTGTTATTATGGATGTTCATGTAAATCCAATTATTTCTATTGGCGGTGTCTAGGGATGAATTGCGTAGGCCACATTAGAGAACGTGATTAGAGAGAATATTATTTTATAATAAAACAAATCAAAATCCTGTAACTTGAAAAAAAGAGCAATGTTAGGGACCTAATCGAGTAATTGTGAGTTCTAATGGTCGGTAAAGTCCATTTTCAATCCAATAGTTACATTAAATAATGTCCTAATTGGTTCAAATAACATTTTTCTTTAAAAAAGTAGATATAATATGTTATTTGATTTGTTGACTTGATCAATTACAACCATTGAATATGTAATGGATTTCAATAAATATTGGGACTCATATTTAAATCAAGGGTACATTACATGCGGCCCCTTGAGATTTGTTACTTTATCAGATAGATCCCCTCAGGTATACGAAATTACACACGAATACCTTGTCAATAACGTTATGGTAATGGAGCAAACAAGAATGATTGAATGACGAAAATGCCCATGATATTTTATGGATTCATTGCATTTACTAAAATGCCTTTATTGCCATACACTATAGAACACAAGGTGGGAAGTGCTCTATAGTGTCCCACTCTCATCTTCTCTCTCTCATCCTCATCCATAGATCATCTCTCTCTCATCTTTAGTGTTCTGAAGCCCTTGCTGGTAGTGAAGAAAACAGATAGTGAAATATACAACTGTGGTGAAGTTATGTACAATATGTTTGGGTTTTGGTGAGTTGTTTGCATGTGATGTTTTAGGGCAGATCATCCCCAAAAAATATTATTGTGAGATTTTTATTTGAGTAACTTTCTGCCATTCAGGGAACATCAAAACAGCGGAGGGGATAAAGTAATGCAGTATACTATGTTGGCTCATTACTGAATATGTTAGAGGTGGGGTCATTCATATTTTTTTTAGTAATGAAGTATACTATGTAGTTGTTGGGTCGTTCCTGTTTTTTTTTTTTGGAGGCAGAATGAGGGAGGGAAAACCAAGGTGCCCTTCTTATATATATATATATATATATTTTTTTTTTTTCATTTTATGCAAGAAATGTCTTGTATTTTTTGATTATTATGTTTTTTGTGTTTATTTTGGGGGCTAGGTTGTTATATTGTTAGAGAAAATATTGTTTGGTGAAGGTTATTTTTGTTTCAATATAGGAGTCATAATGTGTTGCTATAAAGCTGATCACATATTGCTATAAATCTGATATACCTATAGAACTCTTTTATGAACCCACTGATCATGTGTTCCCAATAGAAGTCTGTTCTTTAATTTTTTTTCTGGATGTTGGTGTACCTGTACTCAACACTTTTTGGGTTATATTGTTTCTATTTACTTGTAGGATGTGGAGTGTTTACGTTCATGATCTCACAGTTCATTACTTGGCAGATGAATTTGTTGTGAAGAATATTGATCCTGATGTATATTGCTACTTTGATATGTTAAATGATGTCTGTGAAATAGCTTTGAAAGATGTTCCTTCAAACGTCAACACTTCCATATCACTAAGTTGTGGAATTCATGGGTCAATGCAAAAAATGCATGTAAACGAAGATGCTGATGTGGTGAAAATGTTCCAGTTGAACAACAAGAGTACTGTGATTCATGTCTATATTGATGGTGTTCAATTCATTCCACCATTGATAGAGGAAGCTTCTCATCCTCCCCCACCTACAAATAAAAGAAGTACTGCCAAGGAGAAAGAGGTTGAGGATGGGAATGAAGATGAGGCCTTATCTTACAGTGATGAATATGGGTGGTGTGTGGACATTGAGAGTGATGTTAGTTTGAGTTGTGTGGAGTTAGTTGAAACTGAGTCAGAGAGTGATGTGTCCCAAATGTTTGGTTTGGAGGCCATGATGACCAAGGTGTGATTAAATCCTTAATCTTTTATGATATACGTAAATCTGGATTAATATGCTCAGAAATTGTTATTGATAACTAATATGTTCGCAATGTTAAAACATTTGTCAGAGACGGGAAAAGAAGAAAGATGGGTCTTCAAGCACTGGAGCAGCAGAGATAGTTGCTCAAGGAGGGAGTGAAGCTAATGTGCCAACAGAGTCTGAATATGCAATGTTCTAGTTTGTGTTGCATAGGTTTATAGTTAGCAAGGTACCTTTTTTTGTTGGCATGGTGCCTTTTTGAATATGATTTGTGATGATGCATCTTTTGTGATTTTTTTTTGGATGCCTGCTATTTTTTGGATCCCACCTATTTTTGAATACTTGCCTATTTGATGTAATATGTTGACAATGGGGATTGTCAAAATGCAACTTAGTATTATATCAATCCAAAATTATGCGTACAGATTTTTCATCCTGCTCTTTTTAATGTATTACATCACATTAGTTGCAAATTGCTTAGAGTGACTTTTCAGATTATTTTTTTGAACAACAGAGTGACTTTCCCTGATGGAACTTGTGGTATCCATGTCTCTCAATGTTAAGATGATCTGGTTATAGTAGGGAAGGGCAATTTGGGGATTATATCTATATTTTCTGATGACATCATTTATCTCAACGGGAATTGAGAGTATGAGTTTATGTGTTACACGCGCATAAACTTTGAGAGATTTATGTGTAATATTAAAAATATTAGGGGATTGTTTTTATAAGTGATAAATTTTAGGGGAGTCGAATGTAATTTACCTTTAAATCAATGACAGTAATTGAGTAATTTAGTAAATTAAGTCACTATTTTAAATTTAAGCAGCATTGGTCCTTATTTAAAAGTGACTATTATATGGATAGACTGGCTTCCGGTGAAGAAAGTTATAAATCAAACACCTGTGGAAACACTTTTTCATGGATGTGCATTTCTTAGCTCCAATAATCTGGACCATCTCCTATTGACAGAAGCAGCATTTTGTCTGCCTAAGTCTGCAAATGAAATAGTCTTCGTTAACTCTACTAGTTTTGGGGGGTAACTCTTTAATTAGTTTCTAAACTATAACACAAATCCTTACGTTGCAACCCTGGTTCGGAATTTTCGCAAGTGTCTGAGCAAGTCTCCTGCAGATAGAAAATGCAAGTCATTCTAAGAAATTCTACATGCATTGCTTAGCGTTTGAGGATTTCTGAAATTTCATCACTGTGTGAGAATCATTCTTTTCTTTTCTTTTCTTTTCTATCTTAGAACTGCAACACAAATTTTGATACCTTCACCGAGGTAGTGAGCCGAATGGTGTCTTGTATTAGTGAATCAAGTTCAGCTTCATATCCAGGCCTGACATAGATCACCTGCACAACCAGGAACGTTAGTTAGATCTGTTCTGATTTGTGTGTGTGTGTGTGTGTGTGTGTGTGTGAGAGAGAGAGAGAGAGAGAGAGAGAGAGAGAGAGAGAGAGAGAGGAGACTTAATGATGGATCATCGCCACCAATCTCAGGAAGTTGAGTGGAGCCACTTTCTCTGCTTGATGGCAGAACCCAAACATTAAAGTTTGTATCAATCTGACAAAGAGGAAAGTGATGCATGCCCTCTATTAGATAACAAGAGCTGTTTGGCCGCTTATTAATCGAAGTTTAGGATTTTCTACCAAGACAAGGGTATGTAAGTTGGCTTAACGGCATAACTGATTCAAACAGTCAATAGAAAAGATACCTCTCTGTTGTATGGAGAAGAGCAGTTGCCACATTTTCTGGTGAAGGATGCAACGATCCTTCCGTCCACTGAGAGGCCAAATCCCGTGTGCTGCTTGTCAAGTCATACGAAAAATATTCGGTGCTTAACAGATATCACGTGGTAATACCCTCATCCAATAAAAATTATCACAATATTTACTAATCAGAGACACATATTAATTTTTACACCACATATCACTGTCATGTGGTGCGTGATAAACATCGAAAGTTTTATGATTTTATAGACGAATAAACAAGAAGTTCGGGTGCAATTAGGTTTTTGTTGGACACAAATGACATGATAAAACAAATGTAACCAATGTAGAATGCAAATTGTGTACAGTTAAATCAAAATATACAGAGATATCATGCAATAAAAATCAAGAGATATACAGGTTTTACCAATTATATTCATGTTCGTTTGGTAAATGTATACTAAAAAAATTTAACCGAAACCCGCTAAGTTCATGTAAAAAATTATTTTATTTACACAAAAAGAGGTGCTAGTCAAGATTCGTTTCTCGAGCTTTGATATATTCGTACTCGGCTCGAATTCCTTACCATGCTTTAGCTTGATTCATGAGCTTAGATATTCACTAAAGCTCGACTTTATTTCTAGATCATATACTTAGAATCAGCTCGTTATTATACTATTAACTCAAATTTGAGCTCAAACTAGAGCCAATCTAAGTAGCACATGCCCAAGAAATCTGGAACAAATGATCTTACTTAAAAATTATATGCTTGAAGAAAAAAAGGTGTAAGTACCTTATTTTCTCACCACAAAGATTCTATTATAATATAAACAAATCAAGCTGTAATTTACTGTAGCAAGAAGCGCGGCAGTTTTCATGGGAGTCTGTTATTTACTCGATTATTTGTAACATCATTTGTGTTGTTAATCCAAAGGCAGGTTTGTTTATAAACATGGACACTTTCTGTATGAATTAGAAGCTGAGGAATGACCTTGTGAATGAATAAGGTGATGGAGACCTCTGCATCTCTATGCCCATCTTCTGCTAAATCTTCCAGCTGAAGGTCTTGGAGAGAGAAAAGATAGTCACGCTTCCATTCTCCATGCCATCTCCCATCCGAGGTTGAGATTGTAATTAGACGCCGGGGTGTCTTGGTGCTTCTTTTGCTTATCTTGTTGAAGATCAAAACGCAGAAAATTTAGTGCAGCAAATTATGCACGACACTTAAATGCATTACAATCTTGTCCTACATGGGTTTGTCCAGTAGACTCGAATTGAATAACTACAAATCTACAACATTATGAAGTAAACTCCCGATCAATTTGTCTATCCCTGGGGCTAAGAGGCATGTGCTGGGCATAAGTGTAGAGTGTGAAAGAAGACGAACACACACAACCGGCGCAGGACTGAAGTTCACTGATGGGACAATTTGCAGACTTGCAGTTGATGGAGGAGTCATATCATAGCTAGAGAGTTAAAACAAACAAGGAAGACTAACATGAGAGCATTCAAATGGAGAGGTACTTATTGATATTACCAGTGGGAATTCATTTCGTTTAAGGGAAGCTTTGATCTTGGAGGTCTTAGAAAGCAAGTTGAAAGATTTGGCCTCTGCTGGGTATGGACTGGAAATTGAGTTTATGTTCCTTGCCGCAATCCNAACAAATTAACAAAGATCAAATAGAGTTATAGAATAGAAAAATAACTGATTTATTGACAACCTTCTATTTTGGAAATTACTATATCTTGTAGGACTGGGTAAAATTGGTTCTTATCATACATATGGATAATGTAATTTAGAATCATATGCATATGTCTATATGTATGTGAGTATAGGTAGATATGTTAAATAGGAAGTCTTTCAAGTAGTTCAAAGAAATAAAAAATATGAGGTTCAACTTTTGAGTATGAGTGTACAAATAAATGTGTGTAGAAAATCCTAGTCCCTACTCTAATCAAATCTAACATAAGGATGTCAAGAAGCTAAAAGGATAATCATAAAGATGATTAACAAATTAACATACCCCAAAATAAAAAGTGACCAAAGCAAATGTCCACCTGTTCAACACCACAAAACATAAAAGGGGGGGGGGGAGGAATGAATTAGTAAAGTTGACAAAATTGTTCCTCATAATTGACTTCAAAACCAATCGTACATAGGAAAGGTCTCGTATTGTGTTCAGCAGTGATGACTAACCATCTGAAGTTTTCCAAATCATCTTTCTTTGTTCATGGAGGCCAAAAAATTTCACAAAAAAAAAAGTATAAATGTATACAAAAGCTAATAAGGTTTATTAAGTANCTCTCTCTCTCTCTCTCTCTCTCTCTCTCTCTCTCTCTCTCTCTCTCTCTCTCTCTGTGGGTGTGTGTATTTGGATACACTACATGCAACCTTATCTTCCAGACTGGCTGGCCCCTGGATAATGAAGTAAGGATATTTCCATGTCACACGAGTGTAGAAATTCCCTTCAACATTTCAAGTATGTCCCTATGTTTTTTTTTCTTTTCATTTGTTTTTGGCTAGCAATTTGCATAGGAAAGTAACCATGTTGGCTATAATTTCAGCCTTAGCATATTTTTCATAGAGAAAACAAAGACAATGTAACTTAGGGGGTGTTTGTTTCATGTTTTTGTTTTGTGTTTTGTGTTTTTGTTTTCATTTTTTGAGTAAAATAAAAACAAAAACATGTTTGAGATTGTGTTTTTGTTTTATATAAAATAAGTTGTTTCGAAAATAAGACCCAAAAATAAGGAACAAAAAAAAGATATTTTCGGAAACAAGCAAAACATAAACACACGCTAAGAAAATTAATGAGATCCGGGTTTTGAACTTCTTTAGCAGACAAAATAGTCTTTTTTAGTGAAAGTATTTAAACCCATCTCATTTCTCTCTCCTCTCCATTGCTGCCTCACTCTCTCTATTCTCTTATTGTCACCGACGAGGAGCAGCGATCTCCTTTCCTTTCTCTCACCAACGGAGAGGTAAGCCTCTTCTCTTTCTCCCTTTCTCATCTCATCTCCTCACACTCTCTCTCTCTCTCTATATATATATATACACACACAGATCTGTGCATATATATGCACTGATCTCTGTGCGTTGCGTGTATGTGTGTGTTTCGTCTATTGTCTGTGTGTGTTCTGTGTGTTGGGGGGGGGGGGGTGTGTGTGTTGTGTTCTCTGTGTGTTGTGTGTTGTGTTTGTGATTGAATTGAGATTGGGATTGGGATTGAATTTTCATTTACTTTAGGATTGAATTTCCATTTACTTTAGGATTGAATTTGGGGTGGGATTGAATTGCTATTTGAGATTGAATTGAGATTGAGATTGGGATTGAGATTGGGATTGAATTTCCATTTGAGATTGAATTGGGATTGGGATGAATTATCGTTTAGGATTGAAGTAATGGATTAAAGTAATTCTTAGAATTTGTGTGTCCCTATGTAGGTGAAGTTGGTGCTGCTGCATGACCAGCAAGGTCTAAAGGTGTTGAGGAAGAAAGTGAGATTTCTTTGATTTTCTTTTCTGTGTTATTGCTTGTGTATGGTTGTTGGTTTTGGGAGGTTCACTGGTGTAATGCTATTGGCTTGAAGGATTAAAGCCAACTGGGTGTGATGTCAGGTTTTTTCCCCAAAATTTGATTATTGTAATTCTTTGATTCATTGAATAAAATTTTTTCTTAAAAAATGATATAACTTGAAGTGGTTATCAAATATGTTTTTTATTTTTATTCTCATAATGTGATAGACACAAATGATTTCCAAACATGTTTTCTTGTTTCAGTGTTTACATCAAAACAGAGACAAAAATTGTCTCTGTTTTTTATTTTTTTGAAAACGTGAAAACAAAAATGTTACCAAACGACCTCTTAGTTTTTAGAAATAATTTTTCATATATGTATTTCATAATTTTAGCATACATATAGGTTACAAGATACATTTTGACATTTTATTTCCCTAGAATATTAATCACATAACAAGACTCAAGATTCAACCATTTGTATTCCCAAGTCAACTAAATATACTTAACAACCAAGTATTATCAAATATGCTATTTTTAACACTTCCCCTTAATGTTTTGTTGATGTATTCCCAACATGTCTCTTAGAAACTTGAACTTATCTTTAGGAAGTACTTTGGTAAAAATATTCGCCACTTGATCTTTAGTCTTGCAATATTTGACCTCAATCTCATCATCTTTCACAGCTTCTTGAATAAAATGATGTTAGATTGCAATGTGCTTAGTTCGACTATGATAGATGAGATTCTTTGTCATGGCAATAGCTAATTTATTATCACACAAGATTGGAGTTGCTTCACTTTACTTTTCACCAATATCTTCCAAGATTTTTCTTCACCAAATTGCTTGAGAAGTAGCTAATGTTGCAAAAATATATTTAGCTTCAACTGATGATTGTGCCACACTTTGTTGCTTCTTTGACACCCATGAAAATACACCAGAACCAAGTGAGGAAGCATAGCCTGAAGTGCTATTCATATTGTCATTGTATCAAGTTGAGCCACCAGAGCAAAATTCTCTTGAAAATCGCACCGGATTGTTGTAAATACCCCTAAGCCTTACTTTATTTTTTTGAATTGAACCATCAGTATTAAGCTTTGTTTTGTAAATCACTTCACCCCTTTGGCTTTTCCATCAACTCTCAAGTGCTATTTCTCTCTATCACACGAATTTTATCTTACTATTATTTTCTTCCAAACATCTTCTTTGATTGCTACTTCAAAACTTTCGGGTTCAACAACACAAAAATTGCATATGTAGCATATACATCACTAAGACTTCTCATTTTTCTTGGAGTTGAACTTGGAGATAAAGTGCTTGAACTTGAGAAAGTAGAAGGAGAGTTTGGTGTTGGAGACACTTGTGGTGGAACTTCAACTACTTTATTTTCATTTCCATGCTCAAAACTTTCATAATCTTCATTTGTAACAATAACTTTATTTTGAACATTCTTTTCTTTCCAATTTCAAGAGTCTGTCTCATTAAAAAGATCTTTACAACTAATCATTTTGTTCCTCTTCAAACTAAAGTCTATAACCCTTTGATTTTGAGCTATAGCCCTTTGATTTTGAGCTATAACCCACAAAAAATGCATTTTTCACTACGTTCATCAATCTTGTACCTTACTTCTTTAGGAACATGTGCAAAACAAATGCACTAAAAAACCTTTAAGTGAATAACCAACGGCTTCGTTCCACACCATGCCTCAATTGGAATTTGGCTTTCCAAAGCCTTTGTTGGACATTTATTTATCAAGTAAACTGCTGTTTATACCCTTCGCCCCAAAATGATTTAGGTAACCCCTTCTCATAGTCCAATAATTTTGTCATTTTAACAATGGTTCTATTATTTGTTTTAGCAACTCTACTTTGTTGTAAAGTATATCCAACCCTCAATTATCTTTCCATACCAATATCTTCAAAAAACTTATTAAATTCATTAGAGTTGTACTCACCACCTCTATCACGTCTCAACACATCTTGTAGTATCCACTTTGCCTTTTAACAAACTTTTGTAACTTCTTGAATACTTGAAAAACTTCAGATTTTTGTCTCATAAAATAAACCCAAGCCATTCTTGAAAAATCATCAACAAAGATTATAAAGTATTTGTTACCTCCATGAGGAAGTGTTCTTGATGGTCCCCATAAATCGGCGTGAACAAGCTCTAATGGTGATTTGGGTCTCTAAGATTTCTCTTTTGGAAAAAGATCTCGATGATGCTTTTTAAGTGTACATCCTTCACAGACTTCTTTGAGTTCTTGTATAGATGGCAATCCATAAACCATGTTCTTTTGTTGTAGAATCTTCAAGATTTGAAAGTTCAAGGAAACATTGTTTGAATATCGAAAAATAAGAGGAAAATTTCTATATTTCTCCATCTCAATTTTCACTATAAATTGTCTTTTCTCTCCACAATTATAGATTTTGCAAGAGTTGTCTTCAAACACCACGAAATACGCATGCTCTACAAGTTGATTAACACTCAAAAATTTTTATTCCAAGTTCGGTACTAACAAGACATCTTGTATATATGTTATTTCGTTTTTTGTTTCAATGGCAATGGTTCTCTTACCTTTCGCTTGAACCATGACACAATTTCTCATCCTTACTTGAGAATTAGAAGGGATGTCCATGTTCANAAGTTCGGTACTAACAAGACATCTTGTATATATGTTATTTCGTTTTTTGTTTCAATGACAATGGTTCTCTTACCTTTCGCTTGAACCATGACACAATTTCTCATCCTTACTTGAGAATTAGAAGGGATGTCCATGTTCGCACAAATATTATTATCATTAGTCATATAGTTACTACAACCACTATCAAGATACCACACATCGTTCATTTGCTCAGACATTGCTTGACAAACATAGAATATATTTCTACTACTTTTTTGCTCTTAGGAAAAACTAGTTTGTTGATTATTTTTGAACTGATAATCTTTTTGCAAATGACCAAACTTTTTGCAATTATTGAGGCTTTCCACAAAACCAACAATCTTTATCAACATGACTTGATCTTTTACAAATCCCACATTTTTGTTGAGTGGATTTTTCATTTGATCTTCTTTCAAAATTTTCTTTTTCCCTTTCTCTTTAATTTCTTCCTTGTGCTCTTCCTTTTTCTAAGTCTTCCTCCTCTAAAAGATTCACTTTTAGATTGATTAGAACTAGAAGATTCATCACTTTTAGAGTCAACATTAAGCTTGAATTAAAAATCACCCTCAATAGATTTTTCGACTTGTTTACTCAATCTTTGCTAAAATGTTTCAATAGAATCCAATAAATGTTGAACACCAAATGAAAAAATATCTTTGGTTTCTTCAATGACTGAAACAATAGAATCATATTTTTTTGGCAAACTAATCAAAATTTTCTTAACAATTATTGATTTCAAAATTTGGTCTCTATAAATTTTCCTTTGATTTATCATTTAATGATTCATTTTCTTTCATTCTACTACTCTTAAAATTGTTTAAAGTATTGTAGTTTCACGACTCTTACCTTTGTAGTAACACGATACTCATCTTGTAAAGTGTCTCAAGCTATCTTTGACTTTGTTGCATTGATAATTCTTGGAAAAATGACATTTGTTACTCGTTGAATCAAATGAAGAGCCTTTGCATCCTTTTCTTGTTTTCTTTAATTGGTTCCTTTAAGCCGTTGTCATCTTTATTGTCATCTCTTCAGTTGGATCTTCGT